GATTTTATATGATTCCATTTTCTCTCCTTCCTTAGCATATCAATTATGTTTCTTTTTAAACTTTTTTTAAAAAAGGTGGTTGCTCTAGAATTTGCAATACACATTTAAATTAATCCAAATCCACTTTGAAATAAGTGGACAGTACAAGTACCTTATAATAACAAAATATTCCTCATTCCTCCCTTCCATCCTTTGTTGTCATTCATTTCACTAATACATAAACATACATAATAAAATACATTGTTGCTATTATTGTTTTTAACATCATTATCTGTTAGATCAATTAAGAATAAGAAAAATAAGTTTTTATTTTACTTTCGCCTATTCATTCTCTGATACTTTTCTTTATGTAGATTTTAATTTCTGACCTATATAATTTTCCTCCTCTCTAAAGAACTTCTTTTAGCATTTCTTGCAAGACAGGTCTACTGGTACCAAGTTGCCTCAGTTTTTGTTTGTCTGAGATAGTTTTTCTTTCTCTTTCACTTTTGAAGGATAATTTTATGGGATACTAAAGCCTAGACTTTTTTTTTTTCTCCTTTCAACACTTGAAGTAGAAAAACTAGAAATCATTTTTTTGACTTTCCAAAAAATAGATATTTTTTGAGCACATATTGTGTGTTGGTTGAGTGACAGGAGAGCAGAACACAATGCAAGAGGATATTAGAACACAGGGTCTCGTGAGTCCCCCAAGAAGGTGAACCTGACATGGAATGAGAAGGGCTTCCTCAAGAAGAAGTGTGGTCCTGATGGACCATGAGTAGAGATTATCTGCCACAGGGGCGATGGGGCTGCAGAAGCTTCCACATAGAAGAAAGAGACCTCCCAAAGCACAACCCCCACTTAGGGAACTGCAAATGGCTTGGTGTGGCTAGCACATGCAGTGTGTTTTGGTGATTGGCAAGAGATGAGTTTGGGGAAGGAGGTGATGGTCAGACTAATCTGAAAGTTCCCATGTATATTGATAAGTGTTCTGATTTAATTCTGACATCAGTGAAGAGCCATGAAGAGTTTTAAGCAGTGGGATATGACGACTGACTTGGCTTTTAAGCAAGATGATTTTCGTGGGTGAGGAGCCTGGGGAAGGGAGACTGGTTCGGACACTGTTTCAGTGGTGCTGGGGAAGAAGGGTGAGGGTGTGAACCAGGGCAGTGGCAGTGGAACTGGAGAGGGAAACAGTGATGCCTGATAGGAGACCAGGCCAGCTGACCAGCTTTCTGATCACCCTGATGTAGGCAGGGAGAAAAAGGAAGGAGATTAGGAAGACGCCCTTGTCTCTGGCTTGGGCAGCTGGGAGGATGGTGGTATCATTCACAGAAATAGGGGAAACAGAAGGAAGAACAGATTTTGTGGGGGAAGGCAGTGAGTTCAGTTTTGGACATTCTGAGACGCACGTGGGAAATCCAAGCAGTGCTGGTTAGCAGGCGGACACAGGCCTTGGGAGCTCGCCTGGGGACTCTGAATGAAGCGGAAATCATGCCTGTGGTCGAGCTTCTCAAAGGGTAATGTGTGCAGTGAGGAGCGAAGGTTCCCTTTGCCAGGATACCGGGGATGCTCACGTTGAAGTAATGCACCAACAGAGCGGAGTTCACAAGGAATCCAAGAAAGAGTGGGCCGAGAACTGAGAGGGGTGTGAGGGAGAGAACAGTGGGGGCGAGAGCTTTGCGGCCCAGGCTGGCTCGGCACTCACTAAACACTTGAGTAAGCTCCGTTTTTCAGCCTCCTTAGACACAGGCAGAGTCAGTGACAGGGGATGTCTCATGATCGTGGGAGGAAGAAACATGCAATTAAGAGCAGGTTTCCGCCACCCCCCACCCATGCTTTTCCCCTTCTTATCCATGGTCCCTTTGGAGGTCTCTCTGGAAGGAAAACACTCAAATTTTGATGGCTTTTGTTTTTGTTTTAAGAATGTAAGCTCCATTAGTTTGCTATTCTTTCCTTTTTAAAAAATTAAAAAAAAAAATTTTATGGCACGCTGAATCTTAGTTCCCTGACCAGAGGCTGAGCCCATGCCCCTTGTGGGAGAAGCATGGCGTCTCAACCACTGGATTGCCAGCGAAGTCTCTTGAGTTTTATTTGTTACTATAGCAGAGCCTCACCTGTCTTTCCTGATCCCAGCTCTGAAGTCAAGACTGTGTTGGAATTCTGTCTTTACCTCTTGCCAGGTATGTGACTTTAAGTAAACTTCTGAATTCCTCTGGGCTACAGTTTCCTTATCAGTGAAATTGGGATAATGATATCAATCTCATGTAACTCTCTCGGGATAAAATGTAATAAACGTGAAGCATTTAGAACAGTATTAAATATTACAGAAATGTTAGAAGCCACTAGGACAGTGTCAAGAAGTGGAGATGATTTATAGTCATGGTCAGCAATCTGCGCTGCTGCTCTAAGCCACTTTAGTCGTGACTGACTCTGTGCCAACCCATAGACACTAGCCCACCAGGCTCCTCCGTCCACAGGATGCTCCAGGCAAGAATACTGGAGTGGGTTGCCATTTTCTTCTCCACAGCAACCTATGGCCACAGGCCAAATCCAATCTGCTGACTGTCAACAGCATCTTCATTAAGAATGGGCTTTACATTTTTGGATAGTCAAAATAAATCACAAGAAAATAGTGGAGTTCACATTTCAGTGACCATAAATAAAGCTTTCCTGGAACAGAGCTACACTTGTGTCTAAGTACAGTGTGGCTGCTTCTGCACGACCGTCACAGGAGTGGATCAAGGGCAGCAAAGATCAAGAAAGACAATGAAAAAGCGCTAACTGGAATCAGCAATAGATTCTCAGTGACCTTGATAATGGCCTTCTTTGGAATGTGAAAGCATAAACTAGCTTTTGGTGCCAGACTGGCCATAGTTTGATTCCTGACTCTCCTGCTTGTTAGCTGTGTGGTCTTGGGAAGTCATTTAAGCTCTCTGAGTTTTAATTTAACAGAGCTACCTTCTTAAGTCATTGTAAAGATCAACAATGATGTAGGTAAACCATAAAACACAGCATCTGACTTATTGGAGGGACTCAGAAAAGGCAACCACCCGATTTATGGACTCTGTTGCCCCTGCCCCCCCAAACTGCTATTAGGTAATGCCTTTTCACTTTTCATATTTTATTTTTGTCTTTAGTATTTTGTGTTCTCTATGTTTTACATTATATGCCAAGTCTTTGCTCAAATCTCACCTCTTTAATGAGGCCATCCTAGTTAATATTGGCTCTCCTAGTTAATACTGGAATCTGTCCCTAATCAGCATTCCTAACCTTCCTACCTTGTTCTATTTTTTTTTTTCTTCTCATAGCACATATCAATCTAGGATATTTACTAATTTACTAACATGTTTATTGTATACTATCTTCCCCACCTAGATGGATGCTCCTTGTCTGTTTTATACAATTAGATATTCCAATTGCTGAAATAGTACCCGGCACATAGTAGATGCTCTATTAATATTTGCTAAATGAAAAAAAGAATAGGTGAGGGTTTTTTTTTTTTTTTTCCTGTTCAGGACACAATGTGCTCCTTCAATCTGGGGACTTGTCTTTTTTCATCTCTGTAAAATTCTCAACCATTATCTGTTAACGTGAGGCCCTACTCCCTCCACGCTGTCCTTCTGGAGCTCCTTTTAGACCATGTTGCTCAATCATTCCATCCTCAGTGTCTCCCAAGTTCTTTCTTTGACAAGAACTCTCGTTTAGCTCTCTGTTTTATTCTAAGGAAATTTCCTCAGCTTTATCATTCTCTCTTTTTAGCTGTGTCTAGTCTACTCTTCAACTTGTTCATTGAATTTTTATTGCAATGACAATATTTTTTGGTGCCTAGAATTTCTATTTCTTCCTCATTATTCCTTCTTGCCTCTTGCTTTCCATTCTTTCCTGTACTTGTTTCAAGACGTCTAATCTTCCCTTTATCTCTTTGGATATTTTAAATATTCCTTGATTAAGATTTCTTTCAGATTTTTCTGTTCTGTCTAGTCCTTGGGGTGTGAACCCTTCATTTGTTAAATCAGCTGGATTTCATGCTATGGTTCATTTCTTGGTGTTCTATAATTTTAGATGGTGAGCTCACCTTTTATCTTGGTTGTTTGGCATTTGCCTCTGCTGAGGTCTTAAGAGTTAGCAACTGAAAAAGCTCCAAAAATTCGTCACTGAATGGCCTGTCTTTGGAGACTGAGGATGGCGGGTTGCAGGGTGCAGGTTTAGGGAAACTGCCTTGAGTTCACAAGCTCCACTGTGAAACTATTTGTGTAACCACATGCAAATTACTCTTGGAGTCTTAATTCTCTTATCTATGCAATAAAAATAATAATTCCTATTTCCTAGAGATGTTGTGAGGAATTAGTGAGATAATCAAGTTAAGGAACTTAGCCCAATGTTTAGTATGTACGAAGTGCTTAATAAATGTTAAAAGATATTTCAAATACTTGTCAATATCTTCTCCTTGCTTTGTGATGTAAGGGAAGAAACTTAATGCTTGTGAAAATAGCTTCTGAATACATATGCAAAACAGAGAAACAGCCACTACATTTGTACACTGGTCAGATCTATTTCATTAATTTGTAACATGTTTTAGTTGAAAATGGGGGGAAAATCCAGGAGAACATGCCCACTTGGCTTTCAGCCACTGCAGAAGAGCATTGATGAGAGGGGGATCTTGTAGATGCTTTTTAAAAAATAAGGCCTAATTAGAGAGTGGGATCACTTGCCAACTATTTTGGATCATTAAAACAGAGCAGGAAGAAGAGTTCTTCTGCTGAGAAAAAAATGATCCAGATAAATTTCTTATCCAAATAGAAAATATATGTGACTTCTTGGCTGTGTTGTCCTTGGTCAGCAGTCCCTTTTAAAGGTTAGAAAAAGAAAGCAGTGCCCTGAGTCTCTAAGCAGTGGTTAGTAAATACTGGGCTAATTATTGGGAAGAATGAGACACAGGCAAATTCTTGGGCAAGAGAACCTCATGTAGCCTTACTTCTAGCTCATGTAACTTTTGACCACAGATCTTCCCTTAATTAATTGCCACTTTGAATCTGTGGATAAAGGAGAGTTAGAGGGCCAAAGTTAATGAATAAAAGCTGTATGATTTATCATGGAACAGATTATTAGTTATCTGTAATCATTTCACAGAATGATTTGTAATTCTAATTTTCATGAAACATTTATAAAGACCAAAATTAAAAACATTTAAATAGACAAATATTTTTAGATTTTAATTACCTGATCTTCATAATCAGATCCTGTATCAATGATCTCTCCAGTGTCCAACATCATTGAAGGATCAAGGTCACTTGAACCTAAGATTAGGAAAACAAATGTTACCTGATGGATGGAGGTTGTCTGTGCATGTTTCTAAAGTAAACTATCTCCCACGAGGTTTCCATATTATCCTTGTGATTATATTAAATTCTCCAATATTTTTAACTCTTCCCATCTGCCAGGCACTGTCTGGTCTGCAGATGGAAAATGCAGATGTAACTGGGCAGGATCCTACAGGCCTTCTCAAGACAGACCCTTCCTCCATATCCTCTGCTCTGGCTTCTCTCTGAAGTACCTAAATAATAGTATCGGATGCACATTTCCTGAGTTGTTTCACAGATGCTAAAACCACCACCAAATGGAAGAAGTTAATTACTTGATGATTGTGAGCATGTAGCCCCCAGACCTACTGTTGCCTAAGGATTGATAATATTTAACCCCTGTAACATCACTCAGTTACTTCACCATCAACCAGAGAACTGGGCATGAGTTGATTACATATGCTGGGATGCCCCTCCCTCATTTGGACTTTAGAAACACTTGGCTGAAACCCATAGAGGAGTTTGGCTTTTTGAGCACTAACTGTCCTGAACTCCTTGTTTATCACCTTGCAATAAACATGGCACTTTCCTTCACCACAAACCAGTGTCAGTAGATTAGCTTTACTGCATTTGGGGGAGTGGACCCAAGTTTGGTTTGATAACACAGATATCTAGACACTGTCTCTACCCTTAAGAAGACAATGATCTTGTGGAGGAGATTAACTTGACAACAGCAAGGTTCAGAAACCAAAAGGAAAAAGCTACTAATTCTGACTAGTAGTGGAGGAGGTGATGGAAGTAGGATTCTTCCTTCACAAGGAACTAGTTTGTGAGCCCAAACTATGAGGGTGAATAAGGGTTGTCCAGGAGGAGAAGTGGTCTAGAAGTGTGCAACAGCGACTGAGGAGGAAGGAACAGGAGCAAAATACAGTGGGAGTAGAACAAAGGGTTCCCGAAAAAGAAGGGCTGAGTTTGCTCACTTCATGAGAAGCTGATAAGCTTTTCTTACAGCCTTTGGGTCACATTAGTCCCTGAAAGTAGGAAAAATCAGGTTAACTTAACCTGTTAACACAGAGTTTCTACCCCTAGGTACTACAGGTTACACTGAATTACTTACCCATTAATTCCCAAGGCTTACACTTAGACCAGTAATTTTCATAATGCGGCTCCTGAAGCACAATTGAGTCATCATCCTCATCTAACAAGGCTTTCCTGCTGGGCAATCTATATTACCTAGCTAGCCAGAAAGACAAAATTCAGTGCTGCCCATGAAATGCTATGCCCCTGTGAAGAAACCAACCACTCTGCTTCACTGTAAACTTGCCCTTGCAAAAAACTCTTGTTCAGAACATGCAATGAGTAATGTTAAATGAAGATGAACTTCTTAAAAAAAAATGTCAAGCATTTCACACACTTCTCAGATATAGACCTCTCCCAGAGATGCTACTTCCATATTTTCTTTTAGAAAAAGAACCAAGGTAAGTCCCCACACAGTCTTTCCTCATTTCTTCTTCTCATCATCACCCCTGCTGTTCACAAAACTGACTGAGTACTAGCCCATCACCAAATCAACTAAGCGCTAAACAGCAACACCACAGTTTATTATGCTTGTAATTTAAAAAATTTTAAGTACAATAAAGATTTTCAGAATGAAGAAGGTTGACCCATCAAATCATTTTGGAAAACAACTGTAGAGCTGCCACATATAGTTGAATAAATATGTGCTCCCCAATTCGTGGTGATACCCTTGGCAACATGAGTGTTAAAAGTGCCTGTAGGGGTGATATGGAAACTTTAATTTTATATATAATTTTTAAGTAGAAGATGTAATTTTCCTATATTTTTTCTTTAAGCATTTTTCAAATAAAAGTTTTGTAAGGTGTATCTTAGGGCCAAACTACTTGATGTCTCAGGGTCCAGCTGGAAGACCAATTTGCACTTAAGTGTTGGGAGGCAGTAAAGAGGTCAGAAGTAAAATAGGATCCTCTGATAGGATCATAGACATTCTAAAATTTAATATTTCATAGACTCCTACTCTGTCACTTTAGAAAAGAGGAAAACGAGCTCTGGAGAAGTTACATAGCTTGGCCAAGGTCATGCAAAAAGTGAGTGAGATCGAAGACAGGTCACAGCTCCCATTTCTAACACAGGCTACTAACTCCAAGTTGTAAGCAGACACAATCCAAAAGGTTTTGTATACATGATCTTCTATTAAAGTGCTCTACAGGGGAGGACCTGGAGGAGTGTGCTGTCTCTTCTATATTCTGAGAAAATAGGAACAGTGAATGACTGATGATGAGATGGGTCACTGAGTGGCTGCAGAAATGGAAGAATGGAAAGTGGAATAAAGGGATGTCTCTCCAGCCCATGAAAGTCAAGGTGGCTGCTACCAACAGCTTTGTTAAAGGCAATGCCAACTTTAATTAGCTTTTGTTACTTCTACAACATGGATATGATTCACCACTGACTAGTGAAAGTGGTGATAGGTACTCAGATGATACCCTCCCCTTAGAGGGTGGTTCCTTTGAAATGAGCAACATGACCTGAACACAGAGGCTCACTGAATATATAGCTGCTTTAGTTCCTGTGTCCTACTTATTTAATTAGAAACTGTTATTTTAGTTGTTTTAATAAACTACAGCATGAAGGGGTCTTAAACAGCCCAGTCAACAGAGATGTTAATATTTGAAAATGGAACAAGGTTATTAGGAAACTAGCTTCATTGATGGGAGAATGAAGAGGTCTATGTTTAAAAAATAAATGACTCCTGCTCATAAGGAAGAAAAGATTGGTTTTCCTAATAAAATGTTTTTAACAGAAATGTTATTGTGTCATCAAGGGATGGAATTCTTGATGTGTCGTTGCTCTTGGAAACAGAACTAATAGATCATAGAAGGCAATAGACAGAGGATATCATTATCTATTCAGATAATGATTGAATAGCGCTCATTTTCTTTTGCTACTGGTTGCTTGGTTTGCTGAAATGATACCTTTAATGATAGTTTAAGGCTTGACATACAAAATAGGGCAGTAAATATAACCATATGTACACATTTTGCATCTTTCACTGGACAATTTAACACATAAAACAACTACAATGATCTTAATACTCAAAAAAGAGAGCAAAATCAGGACATTTTGTAAAAGTGATAGTATGGCTTTCTTTTCCCCATAATTCGAATTTCTCAATTTTTTTTTCAGATTTAAAAATATCCTTTCCATAGATAACAGACAAAGGTGTGAGCTGAAATAGAACCCCCCAGGTTCATTCACTGTCACTAGTTTTAGATGTAGAATGGTCTTCGGAAATGTTGTCCCCTTAAATTTAATTGGGAAGATGATACATTGGCTCCAGAGGTACTGGAAGGCTAAACATACTGTGTTCTGGGACAATGGTAAAGATTTCCCTCTTAGTGGATCTTCAATCTGAAGTTTTGGGAAGACCCTCTTCTCATTTTGAGTACCAAATAGAGGAAACCTCCTGCAAGACTGGGATTCCTGGGCAGTGATGAGAATCTGTAGATAAAAGTTCCTCTAACACTTCTCTGAAAGCCAAAGAATTGATGCTTTTGAATTTTGTTGCTGAAGATTCTTGAGACTCCCTTGAACAGCAAAGAGATCATAACAGTCAATCCTAAAGGAATCAACCCTAAATATTCATTGGAAGGGCTGATGCTGAAGCTGAAGCGCCAATACTTTGACCACCTGATGGGAAGAACTGGCTCATTGGAAAAGACCCTGATGCTGGGAAAGATTGAAGGCAGGAGGAGAAGAGAGTGACAAATGATGAGATGGTTGGATGGCATACCAATTCAAGGGACATGAGTTAGAGCAAACTCTGGGAGATGGTGAAGGACAGGAAAGCCTGGTGTGCTGCAGTCCATGGGGTTGTAAAGAGTCAGACATGACTGAACAACTGAACAACAACAATGAAAAGATGAGGTATGTTAACTAGTTGGACTGTAGTAATCATTTCATGAATAAAATCATCACATGTATATATATATGTATATACAATTTTTTACTTAAAAAATTTAAAGCAATTGAAAATCATTCACACTTCATCATTGGAAGTGATATGGGAGCTATGGAGCAGCTGAGATTAAATAGAGAGAGGATTCAGAGAGAAGGAAAGAGCCAAAGCACAAGACCCAGGGGCTGATGAGTCACATAGCAGAGCCCACGGACGTGATTTCTCTAATTGACTGAGTCACTGATGTTTACCAGCTGGGAGATTTTACCTACTGGTGCAGGCTTCTGATTTCTCCGGAATGAGAGAAGGATCCAGCAACACTGGTCAATTCTTTAATGGTAACAACAGTCTGTCTATCAGATCTAATCCCTTGAATATACCTGTCATTTCCACTGTATAATTGTAAGGGATTTGATTTAGGTCATACCTGAATGGTCCAGTGGTTTTCCCTACTTTCTTCAATTTAAGTCTGAATTTGGCAATCAGGAGTTCATGATCTAAGCCACAGTCAGCTCCCAGTCTTGTTTTTGCTGACTGAATAGAGCTTCTCCATCTTTGGCTGCAAAGAATATAATCAATATGATTTCTGTGTTGACCATCTGGTGATGTCCTTGTGTAGAGTCTTCTCTTGTGTTTTTGGAAGGGGGTGTTTGCTATGACCAGTGCATCTCTTGACAAAACTCTATTAGCCTTTGCCCTGCTTCATTCTGTACTCCAAGGCCAAATTTGCCTGTTACTCCAGGTATTTCTTGACTTCCTACTTTTGCATTCCAGTCCCCTATAATGAAAAGGACATCTTTTTTGGGTGTTAGTTCTAGAAGGTCTTGTAGGTCTTCATAGAACTTTTCAACTTCAGCTTCTCCAGCATTACTGGTTGGAGCATAGACTTGGATTACTGTGATAATGAATGGTTTGCTTTGGAAATGAACAGAGATCATTCTGTTGTTTTTGAGATTATATCCAAGTACTGCATTTCAGACTCTTTTGTTGACAATGATGGCTACTCCATTTCTTCGAAAGGATTCTTGCCCATAGTAGTAGATATAATGGTCATCTGAGTTAAATTCACCCATTCCAGTCCATTTTAGTTCACTGATTGCTAAAATGTTGATATTCACTCTTGCCATCTCCTGTTTGACCACCTCCTGTTTGCCGTCTCCAATTTGCCTTGATTCATGGACCTAATATTCTAGGTTCCTATGCAATATTACTCTTCACAGCATTGGACTTTACTTCCATCACCAGTCACATCCACAACTGGGTGTTGTCGTTGCTTTGGCTCCGTCTCTTCCTTCTTTCTGGAGTTATTGACCCACTGATCTCCAGTAGCATATTGGGCACCTATCAACCTGGGGAGTTCATCTTTCAGTGTCCTATCTTTTTGCCTTTTCATACTGTTCACGAGGTTCTCAAGGCAAGAATACTGAAGTGGTTTGCCATTCCCTTCTCCAGTGGACCATGTTTTGTCAGAACTCTCCACTATGACCCGTCCATTTGGGTGGCCCTACACAGCGTGGCTCATAGTTTCATTGAGTTAGACAAGGCTGTGGTCCATGTGATCAGTTTGGTTAGTTTTCTGTGATTGTGGTTTTCGCTCTGTCTGCCTTCTGATGGAGAAGGATAAGAGGCTTATGGAAGCTTCCTGATGGGACAGACTGACTGAGGGGGAAACTGGGTCTTATTCAGAATAAGAATAAGAATTCTGGATGGGTGGGGCCATGCTCAGTTAATATTTAATCCAAAGCTATGGTATTTCCAGTAGTCATGTATGGATGTGAGAGTTGGACTATAAAGAAAGCTGAGCACCAAAGAATTGATGCTTCTGAACTGTGGTGTTGGAGAAGACTCTTGAGAGTCCCTTGGACTGCAAGGAGATCCAACCAGTCCATCCTAAAGGAAATCAGTCCTGAATATTCATTGGAAGGACTGATGCTGAAGCTGAAATTCCAATACTTTGGCCACCTGATATGAAGAACAGACTCATTGGAAAAGACCCTGATATTGGAAAAGATTGAAGAGGGGAGGAGAAGGGGACAAAGGATGAGACGGTTGGATAGCATCATCGACTCAATGGACATGGGTTTGAATAAACTCCAGGGGTTGGTGATGGATAGAGAGGCCTGGCATGCTGCAGTCCATGGGGTGGCAAAAAATCAGACATGACTGAGTGACTGAACTGAACTGAACTGAACAATAGTCTGGGGCTGTGAAGTGGCGGCCTCTGGGAAGGAGAGGTTTATTTCCAGTTTACCACAGGCTCTCCTGGGACCACTTCATTCACCAGGGCTGTGACAGATAGAAGGGGTTTACTCTAAGGCTGGAGTAGAGGTCTTGTACATTTTCAGGGGCCTTGGGAATGGAGGGGGGTTGGGGAGTGTGGCTGTGAACACAGACCTCTCTGTTCATAAGCTCAGAGCTGTAGGAAGGCAGGCGGGGCCCTTGGAAACCCCTGTTATGGGCCAGGCACTGTGCACTCTACCAAGGGGACCTGAAGAGGATGAAGACAGAATTTACCGAATGTACTTTAGACAGCATAGCTACATCACTGTAGGATGAGGCCACTTTGGAGAAATGCTACTTGAGAGTCATAAAGTGCTGGAAGTTCTGAAGAAGGGGCAGTTTAAATTTTCTCCTCTGCTTTGCTGTTTGGAAACTGAAGGTATCTATCACATAGATATTTGTTGTGAGAGGTCTAAAAGGAATGTTATAAATTAAATATTAACTTAAAAACACAGGTGTCAAGACTTCCCTAGTAGTCCAGTGGTTAAAACTCTGTTCTTCAGTGTAGAGAGCTTGGGTTCAATCCCTGGTGGGAGAACTACCCCTAAGGGTGGTCAAACAAAACAAAACAAACAAAAAACATAGGTATATAACTTTTTCTTGAAGCAGTGGTACTCTTGTTTACATGATCTGACATGCTTCTCAATATTCCTTCTTTCCTGTAACAGCCTATCTTTCTGTAAATATCACTGGAAAATCAGGCAGGAGAGTTTATATCAGTTATCTGTGCTCTGTGGGTTTGCCCAGAAAGACTACTGCCTTGTCTTTTAAAAAAATTCTTTCTTAAAACCTGTTCTTAGTGGGCTTCAAATACAGCTTAAAATTTTAGGTGTTTAGCCTTTTTTTTTTTACAGCCCAGAACTTTTGGTCTTTATTTACTGAGGCTGTAACTGAGAAGAAAAGTCAGGACTGACACAAAGATTTGAGAGTCATCTACATAGAAGTGATGGTTGAAACCATGAGGGACAATGAGTTGATGCAGAGAAAGTGTATAAGAGAGTGAGAAAAGGGTCAAGGATGGAACTGTGAGTACTGACTACGTGAGCGGATATACAGTGTCAAACTTCTAGATATAGAAAGAAAAGGGGCAGGGCTACAACAGGGGCTGTGGGTTGGAATGGGGGCATCTATCAGACCCAAGGGGAGGATTTTTCCCTGGTTCAGGAGAGACATATATGTGTTAGGGCATCCTGGAGCAGTTGTAACTTTTATTGTGCTCAAGTTATGGGTTAGATCAATTTTTAAAAATTATAGCAGCACAGAAGTAGTGAAGTGTTAGTTGCTTAGACACGTCCAACTCTGCAACGCCCTGGACTGTAGCCTGCCAGGATCCTCTGTCCATGGAATTCTCTAGGCAAAAAATACTGGAGTGGGTTGCCCTTTCCTTCTCCAGGGGACTTTCCCACCCATGTCTCCTGCATTTAGGACAGATTCTTTACCATCTGAGCCTCTAGGGAAATCCGATAGTAACATAGATCCTATGCTATATTGTGACTACCTGCTAATTTGCCTGTGCAATGACTGGAAGACTGGCAGTAACCATAAGAACCAGATATATGGCTCTTTTCTATGCTGTTTTGTACCTTTATTTTTAAGCCAGAAGGTATAAAGCTCTGAGGACAGCATCATCCTCACAACCTTACAGCAGTATGTTGAGCTCCAGCATTACTACAAAGCCCCAGACACTTGGCAGGGGATCAGGGTGTACTGTAGCCCAAAGGACACGGTGACTTACCTGCTGCAGCCTCTTTGTTTGGAAATAACTTGCTGTCAACTGCCATGCTGATGTCATAGAACACCTCATCCTCGTCCCGGTCGGCATCAAACTGGGAGAAATCAAGAAAGACAAGTTGAGAGCATGAGAATACATAAATCAATTCAGTCCAAAATATAATGAGCATGCATCAGATAACTCTATCTCTAATGAAGGATGATAACAGGAATTAAAGTCCTAGAGTTTTTAATCAGATATTTAGAGGATTTTTCAAGTCCAGACCTCATATCAAACAGAAAGGGGTGTTAGAGAGTAAGTGCACAGTCACTTATGGTTAAGAAAAATGGGTATAATTTTCTTAATTTCTAAAACAAGCTTTGGAAAAATTCATAACTTGTGCCTTTCTGATTCTTAGTTTTGTTTTGAAATACCCCCCATCCTCCTTCATGAAAATATTTCTAATCAACAGGGGGAATAGATTTTCCCATTTGTTGCTACAAAAAGGAAAAAGAACCCTCAAACAAATTTTAGCTACTATACAAATATAGATGCTATTCTATAGGTATAGTCAATAGACACTATAGGTTTAGATGTAACAAAAATTATAGATTTAAATCTTGAACCATTCTCTAAAATTTACAAAATTTTAAATATTAAATGTGGCTACATTTTAAAATCCTCTATTTCCCAAGTTGTTCAATGGTTTTTAGAAATACACTTTAGTCTCTTTAGTTTTTTGAATTACAATTGACATACAATAAATTGCACATATTTAAAGTGTACAAAATGATAAGCTTTAACATCTGTGCAAACCTGTGAAACCATCATAAAAATCAAAATAGTGAGCATCTCCATCACTCCCTAAAGTTTCCTTGTGCCTCTTGAGAATCCTTTCCTTCTGCTCCCTCATCAGATAATCACTGATATGTTTTCTGCAACTAGAGATTACTTTGCATCTTCTAGAATTTCAAGTAAAAGGAATAGCACAACTTGAAACGTTTTTGTCTGAATTCTTTTAGCATAATTATTTTGAGATTTTATCAAGCTCACTCCTTTTCATTGCTCAGTAGTATTTCATTGTATGGATATATGATTTATTCCATCCTAGACGTCTTTTGGGAGAAGGACATGGTAACCCATTTCAATACTCTTGCCTGGAAAATCCCATGGACGGAGGGGCCTGGTAGGCTACAGTCCATGGGGTAGCGAAGAGTCGGACACAACTGAGCGACTTCCCTTTCACTTTTTACTTTCATGCATTGGAGAAGGAAATGACAATCCACTCCAGTGTTCTTGCCTGGAGAATCCCAGGGACAGAGAAGCCTGGTGGGCTGCTGTTTATGGGGTCACACAGAGTCGGACACGACTGAAGCGACTTAGCAGCAGCAGCAGCAGATGTCTTTTATCTTGAACACTGTAGTTTTTATCCACAGATATTTGATTTGAGTCTTAGAAACTATAGAGAGTTTTGAAGATATGAAATGCAAGGTTTTGAACATATGAAATACAACTATAATAACTTCTAAAAATATTTTTGAGCTTTGTTCTGGAATGAAGTTTAATTATTGGAAACAACTTGATCGTTTCAGGTCATGTGTTGAAGATTTATTAGACTGGGCCACAGCAGTATTTAGTTTCAGTTCAGTTCAGTCACTCAGTTGTGTCCGACTCTTTGCGATCCCATGAACCACAGCATGCCAGGCCTCCCTGTCCATCACCAACTCCCGGAGTTCACCCAAACCCATGTCCATTGAGTCGGTGATGCCATCCAACCATCTCATCTTCGGTCGTCCCGTTCTCCTCCTGCCCTCAATTTTTCCCAGCATCAGGGTCTTTTAGTTTATGGTTAATTATTTCCCGCTGTTGCGGCAAAATTTTTTAAAGTACTCTCCCCAGTGCCTTGTGAATTAAGGGATTTTTTTCAGTCTGGCTGGTAGAAACAGGCACTCTTCTTAGCCCAGTGTGAGCTCTAGCTACTGTTCTTGCTGGTCCTTTTGGGTAGTTGTTCCCTCAGCTTTGCATGGTTTCCTCACATGCATGCCCTGATTCGTACTCTGCTGGATCCTGCAGATCTCCAGAGTTTTCTCTCTGTGCATCTCTTGCATCTTTGATACTCTGTCCTTTGAACTCCAGCCACCTTGGTCTCTTGGGGTCTCAGCTCCATCTGCTCAACTTGTGAAGTTCACCAATCTCCCCAGGGCTTCCTTCTCCCTGCGCTGTAGCCTGGAAAGTCTCCAGGGGTCAGCTGAGGGCAATCACAAGGCGCATCACATGTTTCCTTTCTCTTGGAGAATCATCTGATCGTTCGACATCCACTGTCTTAAAATTGCTTTTTAAACATATATTTTCTGTTTATTTCTGTTTGTTTGTTTCATGTGGGAGGGAAAATCCAGCCTCTTTTATTCCATCATAGTTTTTTTTTCCTCTCTATTTTTTGGCTGTGCTGTGCAGCTTGTGGAATCTTAGTCTCCAGACCAGGGATTGAACCAGTGTCCCCTGCAGTGTAAGCTCGGTGTCTTACCCACAGGACCGCTAGGGAAGTCCTTAGTCCATCTTGGTTTTTAAGCTTAATTATTACGTTAAACACATTTGAAAAGATTTAAGTGATTTATTCCTTTATATTTTCCTACTGAAGTGCTTCATTATTTTTAGTGATGGGAATTCAGAAGACTAAATTAGAAAGTTATTACCTAACCTCCCCTCACACAGTTAAAGCACACCTGTGTGATGCTTCAACATACTTTCACTGTGTCACGTCAGCCCATGGGAAAGGTGAGGCAGATTGTCTGATTTCTATTTTACAGGGGAGGAAATATCTACACAGGTATTATTACTTTCTCAAGTCAAACGCCAAATATGCAGGAGCAGTAGGACTTGAACTTAGGATGGTTGACACTTGCCATCCTACTAGGCTACGCAGGATCATCATAGTCAGATAAACAGAGCCCTGGTACTCAAACAAGTGTTAACACAGCCTTTTGTCTAAATGCAAGAGGGAGAAAGCATATGGTGGTTAGGCAGATAAGGCAAGATTAGTGCCACCTTAATGCATGCTTCCCACACCTGTAGACTTTGCCTTTTTTTTTTCTTTCAAAATATGTGTCAGCTATGATCAGTATGGGGTAAGCTCTACTAATAGAAGGTTTGTTTTTATTTTTCTTGGACTTTTGAAAGATAGGTAACAGTGTTTCATTTTATAAATTAAAGCAGAACCAAAGCAAACAGAACCAAAGCAAAACTTATAGATTAACACTTTACTGGGGGCTGTGTGTGTGTGTGTGTGTGTGTGTGTGTTTGTGTGTGTAACGCCAGGGCAGTAAGTTTGAAGGAAAAGGGGAACTGAGACAAAGCAAGAAGCGAAGCAAATGTAAGGTGACATAGTACTGATCTGAGCCCCAGCTTCACAAGAAGTCACAGCTGGTCTCCAGAAAGACTAAATGGAACCGGAATATCTCAGAACAGTCTGAGGGGGAAGGAAGGGAGAGGCATATATATGCTGTCTTTTAGTTTACAGTCTTCCACTGGTCCCAGTTTTCTTCATGAAGAGTTGAAGTTCCCCGACCTCTTGTTTTGGTTGCCTAGATCCTAGGGCAGTGCCTGGAAGCCAGAGCCCATGCTCCAGGGAGCGGCAGAGTGTGTAAATCTAGAAGTGCTGAAAGGCACCAACCCCCTGCAGGTCTGGTCTGTCTGGGTCCTGGGGCCGTCTCTGCGTAGGCTCTCACCAGGTTTGGGTGATGAAGCTCAGCCCTCAGTCCTGAGGAGGCTTGGGGGGTGGGTGTCAGCTACCCTGGAGGGCCAGGCAGCAGTGGACCGACAGTTCTCCATTCAACAGGAGAGGCCTGGGGCACATGGGGCCAAGTGAGTCAAGGGAGGCTTGTAAACTGGCTTAGGCAGCTGAAAACTCAACCAGACCTGGATTTGGATTCCTGCTTCCCCTATAGCTGCTGTCTGACCTTGAACAATACATTTCCCTGTGCTTAGCATCTATACAATGTGATTATTGCGAGGACTAAAGAGACGGTGTATTTAACACATCAGTACAGACCCTGGCCTAACTGCAGTCCTTCATTGAGAGAGTACTTTCTATACACCTTTGATTGCTTCTTTATTTTGGACAAGGCAGGTCACACACACACGCATACTTTTTTTTTTTAAAACTTGAGGATTGTGAAATATGATATATGAGTGACTTTGAGATTTTCTAGGAGATAGCCTGTCCTCCAACTGATTTGAACAAGGATATGTTTAGCTCTGGCACAATAAAGTGCTTAATTGTCCAATCCAAAAGGCAAAGTACCCAAAGTAAAACATCTTTCATGAAAGCATTCAACAAATATTTGCGGAGTAATGACTATGTCCTAGGTAGACTCTGGAACTGACCACTCCTAAGCACTTGGATAATGAACAGGGAGCCCCAAGGAAGGAAGATGACATCCACATGGCCAACTCAACTCCGGGATTATGCAAAAGCTGATGAAGCCCAATGACTTCTGCATCAGGACCACAGAATTTAACTTAGATTTTCTTATTTTCTGTAACATCCCATGTTGGCAGATCCAGGACTAGAATGGGACTCTTCTGCCTAGCTGTTTGGCAAATAACATGACATTCTGATTTTGGAGAGCATTCTGACTGAGTACTATCAGGACAGCTGCTACTTCAAGGAAAAGGTATTTACAAAATAATAACATTCAGTGTTGGAGAGGTTGTGTGTATGATGAGTACAGAACTGGCTTTTCAATCATCAGACATTTTACCTATTATTTGTTTCTGCACAAACCATACACATCAATGGTTTTCAACCAGAATAATGTGGTCCACCCGCTTCCACCCCTGCCCCAAATTTGACAATGTTGCTAGATATTTTTGTTTGTCACAACTGGCAGGGGAGAGACTGGCCAGGGATGCTGCTAAATATCTTACGGTGCACAGGACAGCTCCCTCACAACAAAGAATTATCCAGTCTAAAATGTCAGTAATGCCAAAGTTGAGAAACTCTCATTTATACCAAAGCATTCCCAGTTTTGGGGTTTCTAAAAAGTGTGTTGAGACTCAAGTAGCAATTATTCTCTTCCTCTTCTCCTCTCTCTCTCTTTCTTCTTTCCTTCCCTC